TTGCATGGTGATATTATATCGACTCATGGCCTCCAAGTATCTGTATTTTTATTATATGAATAGAAAGTATGCTTTTTTAGTTTTTAATTGCTGAAGGGGTTGCACAATTAATTTTGAACAAGTTGCATTGTTAAACATTACTGCAGTTGTACAGTCGTCTGTACATGTTTGTGTCCAGTTAAATTAAATTCAACAGAAATACTAACAGTCCAGATTGTGAGATGCATGCAGCCTTAACAGGTTTTTACTTTAATCCCTGTGTTGGTCAGAAATAGAAATTAGAAATAAAAAGACTGAAGTGAAATGAATAGACTCAGAAATGATTCTTATTTGACAAAAGTTCTTGTTTTAGTTTAATTTTGTGGACAAGTTATGAAGTTAAAAAAAGTTGTATTGCAATATATTGTATCGCAATTCTCAGCATATCGCAAAATGTTTCAAATGGTTATAATATTGAATCATGGCTCGAGTATGATGATGTATCGTGGGGCCTCTGGTTATTCTCACCCCTATTAAATAAAGGTCAAACAAAAAGAAAATGTGAGGACAGAAGGTACAATATATTGTGTACAGAAATGACACTGATGATTTGAAATCATTGTAACATAGTTTATCTTACCATTAAACTATTGACAAGCAAAAAAATAAGAAATAAAACTAAAACCCTGCTGTCAATATGTGGCTGGTTGCTCAATGTCAACATTCCAGTGAGGGATCATGAAGTTGAGCTGGCATAGTTACAATATTTTCAGTGTACAGCATGAAGTTATTGTTTGGGCAATGGCCTGCAAGTAATTTAAGTATTAAATTACTCTATTGCTGTTGCTGGGGTATGATGAATATTATTGTGGAACTTCAAAAGGACATTCTTTGTAAAAGGAATTCACAAAATTACAAATAAATATACATGCAGAGTGGATGGAGATGAATATCCAAACATCACACTAAAAGACTACAAAAACTCCAGGAATGCACTGAGCATATAAGAGTGGAAACTTCCTTCAACTGCATCTGAGCGAGACATTGTTTACCCTCCTCTCCATGATACATTAAATGTAGTATATCTTATGTGCATGCCAACAGTTGTGTTATCTTCCTCTTTGACTTTGCCTTGAGCTTAAAGCTTGGCTTTATTCCCCTCAAGATTTCACAGCATATAACTTCTCAAAAGAGCTCTGTGGTTATCTCATTTTGCCAAACAGCTGTTTCGAAACCTCATGGGACGAGTGAGAGACGAGGTCCAGGATGGAAGTGATGATTCAAACCGAGAGGCACACAGATGGGAAAATACAAAAGAGGAACAGCGTAGACAGACAGATACAGAGGGACGGACAGAGGGTCGTAAAGAGAGAGAATTCCAACATGTGAGGCAGTCCACACTTGCTTGATTGTGTCTGTGGTCAGAAGCGAGAGGAGGAGAGTGGGAGGAATAAAACAATTAACATGAACAGTACTCCGGGGAATGTGGGTTCCCTTGACAACAGCGGGCATAGCCAAACAAACGGGCCCTTTCATAACAATTCAAAACAAACAGAAAGGTCTCCCTATTAGCACTCATGCATCAGTAAAAGGGACATCCCTTCCTGTTGTCCTGTAGTGGGACATAAAATTATATTCCTATTTTCACATTTAAAAAAAAAAAAGTATTTTAACCCTCGATCTTCATAATGAAAAATGTGTCAAATGATAAAATTAACTACAACACAGAGATATGGGCAGACCCTCCTGCCCTAGATACTGCTAAGAGGGGGAAAGAGGTGTGTGTCTGTGTGCATGAGTTAATTGTACTTTTGTGTTGTGGGATGGGTGGGGTTTTGGATTATTGAGAACAGTGTTTGATGAGCCAGCAGGTCCACCCATGTCCTGGCAAAGGTGCGGATCGGTAATCAGTTGCAGGAGAGCTTGAAGGAGATTTGAATCGTTTTACCGGAATAGCTCAACATGCTTCTTACTTTTCTCACTGAGAGTGAGAGGGGAAAGACTGATTACTTTTGTGTCCGAGTGGAAAAAGCAAGAATTTTGTTAGGTTAGCTTAGCATTAGGTCTGGAAACAGCTATAGCTTGCATGTTTTGAGGTGGCTGCAAAAGCCAAGGAGTCCCGATTAGAGCACATATGAAAATGCCTGTGTTTACAGCATAAATAAATGTGTTTACAGCATAAATAAATGTGTTTACAGCATAAATAAATGTGTTTACAGCCTGGTACAAAAAAGTCTTTGTTCTCTAACGCTGATTTCTTTAATGGAGAAAACTGTATGGGAGATGCTTTTTCCCATATAACTCATCCATTTTGATTATGAAGGCAAAGAGGTTAACGCAAAACTAGGCGCAATAATGGGCGTGGCTGATTAGGCACAGGTGCACACGTTGCAGGCTAGGCTTCACATTAGCTCCATCCTGTTACTGACCTTAAACTTGCGGCTTTGTTCATCTTGTATTCATTCAGCCCGTCTCAATACTACCTCACAGTTGGAAGTTACAGTAGTTGGTAGAATTTCCAGAAACAAATGGTTGACAAAGTGAGACTACTTTGATTTTTGTCCATAGACATTATAAAATGGGGCACTGGTGGCGCAGTGGTTAGTGTGCGCGCCTCATGTATGGAGGCTATGGTCCTTTTTCTTTTGATTAACATACATTAAAAATATCCAGTTGTAAATATTTCTGAAGCTCCAGTGACAACTAATTGTTATTTTTAAAAAGGTGTTAATTACTGGGCTTTAGAAGTGATGGTAGACTTTTTCACCTTTAGGAAAAGCCATGCAACCCGTTTGTCTGTTTGCAGTCTTTATGCTAAGCTATGCTAATTGACTTCTGTACATCTACAGACATGGGAACAGTGTTGAGTTTCTTATGTGATGCTCACTCTGTAAGTCCATCAAAATACACAATTCTGCTTCATTCTGTATGTGAACTGTTGTTTGCACAATAGTTTCCCTAGAAAATCCCTTTATGAACAAATTGCCACAGGACAGGGAGAGATGGGTGGAGGTTTCTGCTGACTGTTCAGCCATGCATGATTCCCCACTCACTGCCCCCGCCCCTCTTACTCCTTTCTGGTGGCAGTTTAGCCTATTCAAATCATTACATGGCACATAATCTACCAGCAGCTTGCACATTTTTCAGCATGGGTGGGTCAAGTGGAAACCAAACTTCCAGCATTGGCAACAGAACCAAACTCTGCCCACTGAACTAATTCCTCACAAGGGACAGACACCAGAGCAGTGAGGTCGCTTCTGAATGTAAATGTCATATTTCACAAAGCTGAATAATGTAAAAGAGTGACGTTCTTGTTGTGAAATAAGCAGCCCTCTCTCAGTCTTTGCCAGAAGTCACAAAGGTGATGAAGCCAGCAAATTAACGAGGCGAAAGTGTGTTTGGACAAAACATTCATGTATGTGAGCAACATAATTATTTAATGAGTAGGTTGATGGCATTCGCGGATGTGTTTGTGTGAGACACAGAGAGTGATATAATGAGAGGGAGGGAAGGGGGAATCTGCTCTCATCACCCGATGTACAGACTGAATGTGGGTCAGTGTTTGTCTGATGAACAGGACACAGTATCTGCAAAGTCTAAAAAGATTCTGTCAAATGCAAAAAAAAAAAAAAAAAATACACTGACACATAACCCTCAAATTCCTTTTCCATCATCATCTCTGTGCTGTCACATTTCCTTTTTTCATCTGTTTCGAACAGACATCTCCATCTCCAGCTGTTTCAGTCTGTCCTGTTGATAACAAAAACATCACATGGCTGAAAACTCAGTAGCCCCTCTGGGTTTTATTGAACATAAGTTACCATATTACAAGACTAAATCAGTTTAACTATGAGTCCACTGTTTATACCTTTATTCAATCCCAGCATAAATGTATCATATTAATATTATTAGTTCCATTTCTAAATAAATATGCATTCATAGTTAACGTAATAAATATTAGTATTACAAAGACTGATGTTTTTGTATCTATCCGGTAACTTAATATTAACTTAAGGCCAGTAAAGAAGAAAGTGGGTGGTTATATGAACATCATGTAGTTGCAAATACTAGCACAAGCCTGTCTTGTAGTTTTCCAAAACTATCAGGAGGATTTACAAAACCAGTCAACCCATACATGGTTCTTATAGCCTATAGGCCATAGACTGTAAATATGAATTCTGTATACAGTCTATGGTATAAGATAATAAGATAGTATTAGCCAACTCGGTAAGGTTATAGCCAAAACAATAAATCCTTACAAGGGTAAATGGTTTTATGTAATATAGTAGCAATTCCTGTGGCAGTTTTTACAGCAACCTGTCAATCCATGAAAAGTTCTGATTATAAATTATTAACAGTTATTGAGTCTTTATGACTATTCATTTCTTTGAGAAAAATGTGTTGCTATTTTTTTGTGTGTTTCCCTTAAGGAGGTTTAATTTTTTGGCCAGAAATATGTTGCCTTCAGAAACGAAAAGGTGCAGTGATAATTGCCATAAAGTGCTTAATAGCAATGTTTACAAAAATATCAACTCGCTTGAACACCAACATGCTGTTTATGTCATCGAAAGGAACATGAAAGTGTAACGTTAAAGATAAGGTAAGATCAACTTTATTGATCCCCCATGGGGGAAATTTTTGCATTACAGCAGCTCAAGAAAACAGGAGACAGGAATATAATTATTTAAAAAATAGAAGTTAAAAATCAAACATATTTACATCAATTAAATAAAAAAATACAATAATGGAAAATTACACAGTAACTACACTGGAAAGAGTTATTGTTATTAAAAAAAAACACACACACAGTGTGTAGCATGAGGTGGTGATGCTGTTAAAGAGTCCGATTAAACAGTAAGTAAGTTAAAAGAAACATTGTGAAAAGCAGCATTAAGTTATTAACCAGCAGCAGTGATGTGAGTGTCACATGACCGTGTTGGGGTTGGATACACTCAGTTTGTGTATTCTCGTGTGCAGATGTGACAGTGTGAGCACACACACACACACACACACATACACACACACACACACACAGACACACACACAGACAGAGACAGCAGACCTCCTCCTCCTCCTCCAGCAGCGCACAATGAACCAACTCCGGAGCAACTTTAGGACTCCAATCTGTCCCGGGTCTCACAGAGCCCTCTGCTCCTGAGAGAAGAGTCGAGAAGTTTCTATTTTACAGCAGGAGTAGTCACCAGTTGGACCTGGTCCTAGGTTTGACTGGTTTTCCCTCCGTGTTCAACAAACAGCTCGTGCTCACCTGCAGAGAACTAACCATGCGCTGGCGGGCTGCGCTCTCCCGGTAAGTCACCTCTATGTCAGGGTTGTCATCGTTACGAAGGGCTTTAGAGAGGAGTCAGAAAGCTGCGACAAACTTCACTTTAAGTTCACAGTTTTGGAAAAATGTAAAGCGATGTCTACATGTTTTCAAAAGCCGTAAATACAAACGGTTTGAGAATAAAAATAAAACGAAAAATAAAGGTCTAATCTTAGTTTAACATCAAGCCTTTTAACATGCAAATACACTTAGGCTATGTGTGTCTATTATCACAATGAATAAATGCTAGTTTAATAACATACTCAATGAGCTTGTCTAAAGATGAGTAGCCTACTTTTAATTTAAAATGACTGAAAATATAAGCGGGGAGGGACTTTTTTTATTTGTGAGGTATAACCTTGGCAATGTAAGTTAGTAAGTAAGTTGATCAAAAATAATCATGATATGCCAATTCAAGTTGAAGTAAAACAAAAAAGAAAAAGCAAACGACACAACAAGAATGAGGAAAGATACCAGTATTTGTAAATACCATCGCAGCTTTTTAAAATCATAATCAGAGACATGTAGCTAAAGCACAGTCCAGGACAGTTTAGCAGCATTCATGTATGTAAGGGATGGACCAGGGTGAGGGAGGTGGGAGAGTGTTGAAGATACCAAACTAGAAGAAAAAAATGTAGCCTTTATTCTGCACAGCTAAATGTTGTTCAGTCACTCCTGTAGGCTTAAGGCCAATCCCTCAGGCCACCTCAGGAATTTTCCATCAGAGTCTAGTAAGGCCTGATCTTTGCCCTGCGTGTCATATAAAAAACGGGAAGTTCTTAGCTGCCAAATTCCGGCGCAGATAAAAATTCTTCAAGTTGAAATGCTCTAAATCAGCGAATCAATGCTGGTTTTAGGAATGAGAGTGTTTGTCATGCAGGGCCCAGTCATCCGGTCATGTTTTACAGGGATTGCAGAAATTTGGTCCAACTTTAAATGGGTCAGGCAGTTCAATGAATCGCATTTCATCTTTCATTCAGTGCAGCAGTCAAACTTATTTCCTTTGTTGATCCACAGGTTTACCTCCCTCCTATTCCTTCTTTCCCTTCCCCCTGTTTTCTCGTCCTCCCGTCCTCAGTGGATCCTCCAGCGTGTCCCTGTGGTCCTCCCGCAGCAGACTGAGACACGACCGGTCCCTCACTTTCTGTCCCCAGCCCGCTTGGATGTCAGCTCCCCTTGTGACCCAGAATGCCACAAGAGAGCCCCTCGCCCCAGCTACTGGGACCTACGGCAACTTCTGGCATATGAGACTCTCCACTCTGACGGTCAACTGACTGAAACTGCCATTGGGATCTATGGCTTCAATACCAGCTCTGACAGTAGTCCGGCCTACTCTTCGGGGTCCTCTGGGAAGGCAGAGCGGTCACACGTGAGGAGGAAGAGACAAATCTTTGGCCATGATGGGCGTTTCAGCATTGCTGGGCAGAACTTTCTGCTAAAATATCCGTTCTCAGTAGCTGTCAAACTGTCCACCGGGTGTTCTGGTACGTTGGTCGGGGATCGTCATGTTCTCACAGCTGCTCACTGCGTTCATGATGGTAAAAACTACGTTAAAGGAGCACAAAAGCTAAGAGTTGGGTTTCTTAAACCCAAGCACCGAGACACACAGCCCTCTTACTTTTACGTTCCCTCCAACTTCACCAACCACGTTGAAGGTGCTTATGCCCCACCCATCAAAGACAAAATGAAGTTCCAGTGGATCAGGGCCAAGCGCACCCACGTTCCTAAAGGATGGATTAAAGGGAATGCTAACGACATCGGGATGGACTATGACTATGCTTTGCTCGAGCTCAAGAAACCACACAAACGTCGCCACATGAAATTAGGAGTCAGCCCTCCGGCTCAGAAGCTGCCCGGTCGACGAGTTCACTTCTCAGGATACGATAACGACCGTCCAGGAGAGCTGGTGTATAGGTTCTGTCGGGCCGGAGAAGAGACGTCGGACCTGCTCTACCAGCACTGTGATGCTAAGCCTGGCGCCAGTGGCTCAGGAGTCTATGCCCGCATGTGGGATGGGCGACACAGGCGCTGGGAGAGGAAGGTCATAGGTGTGTTTTCTGGGCATCAGTGGGTTGAGCGGCAAGGGGCGTCTCAGGAATTTAACGTAGCAGTGAGAATCACGCCTCTAAAATATGCTCAGATCTGCTATTGGATTAAAGGAAACTTTGTGGACTGCAGAGAGGGATGAAGAAAAGTATTGACTGCATCCTCAAACAGCATACTTAATTATTCAGGCCACAAGAACCCACAATTTTCACCCCATTATGTCTGTGAGCGTTCTCAGTCATCCTGGTCATGATACATCGAAGCTTGATCCAAAGGCAACTTGACTTACTTAAAGATCTTGAAAAAATCTTCAACTAAGTCCAGTTGCCTTTGGATCACCCCATTACTTAAAGCACTGATGTCATATCAAAATACATATCAACCATTAGTTTGTTGCCCTGATTCTGAGACGCAAATATCAGTCATGTAATTACTGAAACAAATCCAGTAATGATACTAAAATATGTAAACAGGGTGTTTCATTTCTTTTTTGTTTAGTTTTGCATCTTCTACCACATCACTAAAATATGGAAAGGAGTGACACTGTTTATTAGAGGGGAAACATTCAGGTCATGGGGTTCGTCAGAACAGAATCTGCTTCTTTGGACATTTACCTGGATAGCAAAGCTATCTGGAAGCCTCAGATCTGGAAAAAAAAGAAGAGGTTTTGGAAAAACAGGCCCTCAGATTACAAGGAGCTGGACTGAGGAAACGTTTTCTATGCATTATATTGTTGTTGTGCTTATACTAAAGATTGCACTGTTAAAACCTTCAAAGTTTTTCTACTGATGTTTTTTTGTGGATGAATGTACAAGTCAGCTACCAAAGTTGCAAACTTTTCTCTCCAAACTGTTTTCTGTCTCCTCTCCGAGGACATACTGCTATCTCAAAGAATGATGTACTCGGTCAGTTTTGCAGGAACTCATATTACTCAGAGTGATATTAAATGGTTGCAGATGACGCTCAGCTACAAGAAGCACTTTTGTTGAATATTGTGTTAATGCTTAGCTCCCTCTGGTGGCATAAATAAAACATTGCAGGTGTCAGCATTAAACATAATGCCGACTTAGCCTTGGCTTACATAAGCACTTTTTACTTTCTCTTTGTTTCTCTCGTGATGTTGCATTATTTGTGTTCGACACTTTATGCCTGTGGAAATGTATTGAAATATATGCTTTAAAATAAGGAAACTGTGTGCCATATTCCTTCTCAGTCTGCTTGTACAACACACCACAAACATCTTTGTTTAAACACCATTTGCTTTATTTCAGATGTCAAAAAGCATTTTTCAGAAATGCTGCGGGGAAACCTAACACTGTAAAAAGCCGAAATTTGAGGACCAGCTCCATTGACTTCTCCAGCACTGACACATTCAACAAAAGGGGGACAACCAGGACTCTGAAATTGCATCCTGGGATTTGGCACATAGAAAACAAACTGCAAATCGCTCTGATAGCTTTTATAACCAAGGGGACTTAGATTGACATCATTAGATCCAGTTTGACTGAAAACCTGTCTTTAAATTTACTAAAGCCTTGAGAAAAACCAAGTACATTAAGAGCATTGTGATTAGGAGAAATATCAACTAAAATCTTCCCATATGTCATCTTATTTTTCTTCCTCAGCTGTGATCTCACGGGTAATACTAAAACAAAAAAAAAGGCAGACAGAGGGCATTATTTGAACAAAGACTAAACATTCAAGTTGTAACTTGCAGATTTAATGCCACCTTAGTTTATTCCTCTGTGTGCATGAAATAAGGGATCATTAAAAGTAATCAGTTACAAAATTATATTTCTGTGGTCGGTGCTTAATTGAGGCTCAATCTACCAGCAACAAAGCATGCCAATTCAAGTCAACAGCAACATTCAGTTGAATTTTTTGCTACATTCAAGTGGAAAAAGACAGCCAACAAAAACACAAGCACCAATGAGCCGATTTAAGAGTTTAAGAGTTCGCAGACAAAGCAGAATGATGGAGACCTGTTCATGTGTGTACAATCACAGATTCCTCTCACCTCTGTTGAGGCGCTGAACAGCACAGGTAATTCAGTCACATTTATCTCAAAAGTACTTTACTTCGCCTCATTTACACTCAATCTGAAACTCGCCAGGAGCATTCTGTGAAATTCACAGATGCTCAGGAAATATTGATTCTCAGATATTCTTCTCAAGAGTTTACCTGCTGGTAAAAAAAAAAAGGCTTTTCTGCTCAACTTGTATTGACTTTCTCTGATAACTGAACACTAATCCTCCATACTGCCTGAAGTTATGTAGCCACTGCAGATTAGAGCCTGTGAGGAAGAGGTGGAGGTTCATGAGGAGGAACCTCGATAATTAGAGTGTTTACCAGGTGTGACTGAACAGAAAGGCAACAACATGCAAGGCAACCTGTTTGTAACACATATCTGGTAACAGAATACATAAACCGATGAGGTGACACACAGAGTCCATCACCTAAAGCTGTCTTCACCCTTTGATTTGGTCACTATTAAACATCCCCTGCTCTCAGATCCAAATGAGAGAGTGATGACAATGGTATATTAGCAGTGGGAGAAGGGATAGGTTCCATAGCTGAACGAAAAGGAAAACTTAAATCATTTGCAGTCTTTGTTATCTTTATTGAATCCCCAAAGAAAAGTTAAATGGGCCTCAATCCTATTATGGTTTAAACAATGTGACTGTATGTACTTCTCAGACACAAATCAGTCAACAATTATCTTTAAATATATAAATCCCCTGGGATCAAACCCTTTTTGACAATTTTTAGGTGTACTTTAACATCAAAGATGCCAAGTGTGTGCCAATCCCTTTTCTCTCTTAACCTGGGTGAAGTTCGTGAACACTGCTCCTCTAACTGCACTCCAGAAAGACAATGATGTGGGGAAAAAAAGGATACTGATAGTTAAACAAAGTGGATGAGGATAATACAGCATTCTCTGTAGAGCAGTAGATAAGACCACTGACAGTGTCTTTCCAACACACTGATCTCAAGTCAGCTTAAAGTAACTTTTATTACACTTGTAAAAAAAGGAAAAAATCCCCCGAGGCTCAGCTTCAAAGGAAAATTCTACATTTGGCCAAATACAACTGTGCACTTTCTAGCTGTGATTTAAATTGAAGGATCTTTACCACCATGATATCTGCTTATTAAATAAGAAGCTACAGTGGGCAGCTGGTTATCTTACCAATAAACAATGGGAGTCAGCGGTTACATAATCTGCCCACCAGCATCTCTCACACTCCCTTATCATCAGTGATTTTACAAAAACCTAAGTGAGAAGAAGATAATCTTGTGTTTTTGGTGTGTTAAATGCCAGACAATTTCTCGACCAGTAATAGTCACTTACTCCAATCTAATTGGTGCCAAGAAATTGTAGCCTGTTATACTACTGTCATTTTTAACACTTTTGATTTGAATGTAACTAAGAGACAGAACCTGTTTCGGTGTTAAGAGGAGCTGCTGGATAGATTTTGTACCATTGGGCAGAGCCAGGGTACCTGTTACCTGTCTTTTAGCTGGTGTGCTGTGCCCCATATTTGCTGGAAAGTTAAATGACAGATCTTCATCTTCTGGTTTACACTCTTCCAGAAAGAGAATACCGTTAAGTGCCTTAAAAATTCAAATTCACCAGTGAAACAAAACTGAAGATGTTGAGAGCAGTGTCCTCCTGCTTGTGCCACCTCAAAGGGCTGCACGTCACTCACTGGTTCTACATTGTAGCTTTAAGACTCAAGTTGGAGAAAAACAGCCGGATCAGTGCCTCATCCACTGCTCTACATCAAACGTCTGGTTAAAGTGACCATCAGAAGTCAAGTCCTCTTGTGATTGGCCACCTGCACTTAAAATATCTTTGGTGAAAGTCACCTCCTGGCATTCCCTGACTTCTCTGTCGCCTGGCAACAACATAACACAACATGCTAATGTCGTAAGCACGGTAATGCCCGGCGTAACTCGAAATAGTATACAAAATAAAAATATTCTTTTAAATAGGTTTATATAAACATTGCATTAAAAATAGAACCGTATCAAAACAGGATGAGTTCACAGTCTGTCCCTCAGCCTCCAGGCGTGAGCGCCAGTCAACCGTCATGTCCCCCGCCCCCAACCAACCCATCTCCCCTCCACCTGCAGAGTTCATAGGTGAGGTCTCACTGTGAAGAGCGTTTACTGCGCCTTGAGCCCCAAACCGTTAGAGGACAGAGGGTAGGAGTAGGCTTTGCCTAGCACTATGCGATCCCGGAGAAGTTTGAACAGGACGTAGTAGTTGCAGCAGAGAATAAGGCCCAGAGAGAGGGTGTGGTTCCAGCGCTCAGAGCGCAGCAGAGAGTATAACTGGTACAAAACCACACTGGACTCGATCCAGATCAGCAGGTTCAGGATCCGCAATGGCTTGTGGAAAAGAAACTGAAAGACCAAAAAGGAAATACGATAAGAATCTCTAAGCTTATATAAGGTGAGACAAAATAAATGTTTATATTCAGGGATTGATATGAACCATAAAAGTAAACAGGTTTATGATGCAAGTCACTGTATTCATTTTGTGTGAACATGTTTGATTAAACCTCAGGACTCTCTGACAAATACAGACTATTTTTTAAATAAAGCTGCAACAGTTGCTTGATTCATTTATCGATGAATGACTACGACTACTTCATTGTCGACGTATTTTTTTAATGCACAATTGTCGATCATTCTCTGCTGTTGGAACATCTGTGTGTGTTGAACTGTGCTTTCGGCTGGATTAGCCCTTTAGACTGAATATCCAAGAGTTCTGACTGTTGTTCGCCCAAAAGACATTCCCCTTGTACTTTGGAATGAAAATATGTTGCCATTTTATGACATTTCATTGGCTCAATAGATAACGAAAATAAATACCTAATAACATGTGCAGAATAAGTTGCAGACAGACGGGTCTTGCTGGTGAACATTCATTGATGGGAGACAAATGTGGGTGATATTTGTGTTCAGTTGTTGTTCAACAAGCTATCTTCAGTCTGGTGTTTTCCTAAAGGATTTTCTTTTCTATGCTACATGGTGCTGTAAGTTAGTCATCACAAAACCCACAAGAAATAGATCTCTGGTTTTACTTTTTCCATCTATTAGTCAAATGTTTATTTATTCTTTTTGCTCACATGCTACAGAGGAATTTCTTATGAAGTTAACCAAATAAATCTGTCACCAGGTGAGCAGGATCCAAAGATCTAATTGATCTCAATTTCTACTTGACTGAAGGGGTTAACACCGGAGCAACACTAAAGGAGTGTGTAGATTTATTTTCTCATCAACAGCATTTAATATTTGATTTTTAAGGAGGAGTTCAGGGTTAAAGTTTGCTGCTCCCTTTAATTGGAACGAATCACAAAAAAGAGCTGAAACTTAACAAGCTGCTCTCGTTGGACGCTTTTAAAGAGAATGTTTAATCACTTGGAGGGGGACACATCTGAATGTACATGTTCTCCCTGATGTGTTTGTGGATGATATCGACAAACATTTGCCGTTTAAATTGGTTAATTGTGTCTTTTAACGTATTGTTAGTATTTGTATGTTTGGCTGCTCGTTGTTTGTGTGAAACTACATGAATTGTGCTGCTGCCTGTCTTGGTCAGGACACTCTTGAAGAAGAGATTTTGAATCTTAACAAGTTTCTTTCTTGGCTAAATAACAAAAATAAATTAAAAAATATAAGAGTTCAATCTTGTTACACAGAACTATGGGGTAGGATTAAATAAGTTTTATACTTCTTCCTATTCAGGCATATCAATTGAATATATGTAATTTGCTTTATCTTTTTTTGTGAAATAATTTGAACATGTTTTTTGTTTATTGTATTTTCATGCTTTTCAGTTTGTTTTGTATTTTTGATATGTTTGATTTTATTCGATATGTCTGAAATAAATGTAATCAATCAATCAAACTGTGAAAAGTGGAGTTTGTTGTGACAGAGGAAATGGAGGGTTTGCCAACAGGATAACAAAGACCTAAACTCATTTTATAAACATGCTCATTTTAAATTCAGTTATGTTGACTCTGAGCAATCTCTAGCATCTTTTTTTACATGTGGATGTAACACACACAGCCTTTTGCTGACCAGTCACATTTCTTGCAGGTCCTTAAAAATTTCTCAGTTGTGAGGTGGACACGAGCTGCTGTGTGTGGCAACACCTCTAACCGCAGAAGTATAAA